CGCACTTAAAGTCTTAAGAGTCAAACTAAATTTACTAAACTGTGTCATTAACTGAAATGTACATTGTTTCTGTCCATGATACGCAAACTCCAACTTACAGTATCGCATACCATACAAATTCAACAATATGGAGTCGTATTATAGTAGTGGTGATAACTGATGCATGATATTAATATGGAGTATTAACTGATAGTAATGGGATGATATAAGGTCATAAATTGAGCCTTTTGCATATGATCAACTGCCTTTGTAACTGCGGATGAACTGATTTGAAATGGGCATATGATTAGCTAATTAGTGACCCTTTAACATTACATCAACTAGCAAGAGTCTTTGAATCGAATTTCTGCATAATTAATTCAATATGGAGAAAGCTAATTGAAAACAAAGTCTCATGCTATCTTTCACCTGACATGAACCTCAAAACGTTTACCAGATTACTGTGCCTAGCTGCAAAGGAGAGTTTGCAACCAACTGCTCCAGCTGTCATATCATCGCGTCACCTTCAACTCTAAGAAGTACCATCTTGAATTACCCTGAAAAAGGAAGTTGTAAGCAACTGTGTCTAACTAAATGGACTTCCGGGCAAGATATTCAACCCTCCTGTTGTAGTAGTTAACGTTATCTAATATAACGTTAGTTCTATGTATAAATCTTTGGCAATATTGCTGGGAAATTGACATGGTACGCGATAGCTCCTGCCTATTCCATAAAGTAATGATCACCCCAGAAGCAGCTGCATACCGTTCTGGGCATTTAACTCAGTACAATGACCCTAACTCGATCTTGCAGGAAATCCTGAGCATCCAAAGGTCGCACTTTAATAACCAAGCCGCCGGAAGATGTGAATATGCTTCGGTTTGAACTTGACCGCGCAGAGGCTAAGCCATCATATCGTGAACTAATTAGTCCTCTCCAATCCAATCAACTCGCTGGATTTAGCGAAACTGGGGTAAAACGGTACCTTGGTTCTTTAAAGCCCAACTGGCCTCTGGCCCTGAGGAGCAACAACAAGAATCCGTGTCTCTGTGTTAAGTGAAAATGAGCTATCGTACGTTCTCCAGAATTTGGACAACCGCTGCTTCAACTCCTAGACCATCCCAGACTGTTGTTATACAGCGAGAATCACTCCTTACCAAAGATATTGAAACAGATTCAGTATCCATCCCCAGTCCAAAATTACGAAATCCATTACATCGTATCAACTCGATTCTCAATCCTGAGTTTTTCGAAACATCTTTAAATAATATGAACAATGGCCGTAACACCCTTCTCGTCCTTCTTACCCCAACCTTTTATGGCAGTCGTACCTTGTGATATCAAGCCGATCAGGAAAGAGCCTTTCTCTGTTCCTTACGAGGGCCAGTAAGCAAACGTTATCGGAAGTTCTATACGTCCCATTTTGCGATCACACTTAATCACTATTCGTTTTGTCTGTAGGGTCAAAATGGAGAACAAGTCAAACATACTCTATTCTCATGCTTGCATTTTATAATAAAGCAACCCATTAACTCTTAACTTCCACTCCATCTTCCTTCTCCATCACCAACCCCCCTCCCTTCCAATAAGCTGTATGAAAATGTCTTACTGTACCACATGATGTTATACTCACATGAAACCCGGGTCGTTTAAATTTGCGTAATAAATGAATTTCTTTTCTTGCAATTTGTAAGGAGCTGCTACAAATCCGCTTTCTGGAACATCCGTAACTTCACTCTTACAGCAAACAGACATTTTGGAATAGGAACTCACCGTTTTTGGCCATAAATATTTTACTTCAAAAGAAACAGATTCGTTATTATGGGTGTTCAAGTGGAGAATTGGGTGAGAAAACGTGTTAAATGGTTTTAATAGTTTATATTTCAGAAATGTGTGATTCGTTGTGAGTTTTTTTCATTGATTCCGTGAATTGTTTCTCAATTTTTTTACCTTCACCATATCATGTATTGCAAAATCACGCAAAATCCAAAATCTGGATCACAAGCCTTTCGGACTAGGGAAATTCAACTTGAGAATTATTGACCAATCGCTGCGACGCTCACTCTACTAAAGAGACTGGAAATCTTAGTAAAACTTAATGCCGAAGAACAATTAACAGATGAAGAAGACAATTTACAATTCTGTTTTAAGAAAGACCGTTACACGTTTGATGTCATCGCTTGTTGCACTGACTTCCTTACCACAACTTCAAACGCAGGTGCCTCTGCAGCTACAACCCTGTTTATTGACCTATCATCGGCATTCAATATTGTGCCCCGAGGTGCCTTGCTCAGTCTTCTACAGAATGGTGATATTCCTCTGGGTCATTTCCAGTGGTTGGCGGACTACCTTTCAAACAGGCATTAATTGAGTGCTGCTAGTAATTGTGTTCTTCGATGTTGCAAAATAACTTTTGATTCATACGAGGATCAGTACTACCTCCATTATTATTTAAATTCTACGTTAGCTTGCTCCAAGTCGCGTGCCCCTTTACTTGTGTCATATATGCCGACGATATCGTAATAATCACGCCCATCTGAAGCGCGCTACGTTCAGGAAGCTGCAGGAAACATTGAGCAAAACGGCCAAATCGGTTTAAGACTGCGGCCTAGAAATCAACCAGACGAAAAATGCCCCGGCGACTGTTGCCACCGGCAAACACCACATCTGGAAGATTGCTCTCAGCAGTCGAACAACCAACGACAATGGCAACTGAACCTGTTCCCCCTGTTCCCATTATTAAGTATCTGGGCTTGTACTTGAACAATCGGCCAGGGTGGGCTGAGCAGGCCACATCATTGCTTAGGAAAGTGAACAAGGGTTGTTCTATCTGCTGAGGCAGCTGAGACTCTCAGCTCTACCATCGAGCTAGAGAGTGCGACCAGCCACAACCGATCAGTCACTTTTTTGCTGCCGCTGAGCCCTTACTCTGGAACTGTGGTTTTCACCGGACTCCTGAAGCAAGACTATACAATCCTTCGCCCCGCAGTTCTGCTCATCAGTCGTATCAGCAAAGCTGACCAGAGATATGAGAATGATATATTTCCATAATTATCGCAGCAACTAGGTGCTTAAGGCGAACCATGTTGTGTGACGTCAACCATCTACTGCACAACAGTTTCTGAAGGCAGTTTCCGTGTATCCTGGAACCAGAAGCACAGTAAACCCTCTCCCCGAACGTACAGAACTGTACCGTAGATTAGCGCTCTGCCTTTCATCTCCAGATCTTTCAGAGATTTGAAAGAGTAGACAGATCAATGATCAAGGCCTCGTGTCACAGCGTTCACACTGATAGACAGTAAAGCTTTTGTTCAACGTTTCCATCTAACCCATTAACATGAAAATACCACTTTGTGCCGATAACTTTGTTGCACAAGAGAATTGACATACTTACTTGTACTGTCATCCTAGACGTTTCTCATCAGCGCTTGATTTGTCGGTTAGAAGATAATACGCACGTTCAACACATTGTTGAATTATTATTTACCACTTTTAGAATTAAATTAATTATTTGTTTATAATAATATCCTCAAATGTTAAAAATTTATTTCCTTTAATCTTAAACTCTGAATCACAGAAGCTGAGAAAATTAAATAAGCCAGAGAATTCCGCGGAGACATCAAAGAAAGAATGAATTAAGAGAGGTTCAATGAAGTTTATTCCCATTAAAAACCAGTTCATCTTGTAAGGAACGTAAGTTTATCAAATTCAAGCCCTTATTCCGTCCCCTTAACATCTTGTTCTTGGGTCTAATTAAATGATAAAATGTATTGTTTCGTCAAAAAGAAATTTGCTGCGCAAAGAGTTCGAAGTTTTATTTTACGAAAATAATCATAAATTTGCAGAAACGTAATTCTTCCAAATATAGATTTACGGAATTACTGCACTTTCGTGATTTTAAATGTCCGTGAGATCACTTAAGAGATTTATGTCACGAATGTATAGCATCTTAGCAACAGTAATGCATTTATGCACAACATTACAATAATGCCTCGATGGTCATCAAAGACTCGCAATTACTAAAATGAGGTTCTACAGCACGGGTCGCCACTCGCATCCTCCTAGATGTCTAAAGGGCAATCTGAACAGGCCACTTGATTTGTTGTATTCGAGTGTCTGAAGTGCACCAATGTCCCGCATTACTTTAAGCCACTAGACAAATGACACAGTCTTCATTACCGAAAAATTTTCAACAGCCAAAGATCGACAGTTGCTGAGG